CCCGAAAAACAACAACAGAAAAAGGCTCAGGAAAATTAACTTCAGATGGAGTTAATGGAGCAGTGTTTAAAAAAAAAGGGCCCTCTGACACTCCAGCTGCGAGGATACTTAAAAGCCACCCTCCAAGAGCCTGAGCGCAGCTTGGGACACCGAGGAGGAGGGGTCAAGCACTGATGCTTTGCTGGGCAGAGGCATACTGGCCAGCGGCAGCTTCTGCAGCTGGGCCAGAAATAATCACCTCAATCAATCCCCAGTGCACGGGGCCAGGCTGCAGGACTGCTGGGAATCCCTCCTCTTTCAGCTCCAGAGCTCTTACTTTGCTCATCCATAAAATGAGAGTAATAGTAGCTAATTGGTGGGTGATGCTGAATAATTAACCCACGAGACGCTTCAACTACGCAGCCAAAAGGACCCTGGCAGAGCCCACATGTCTCCCGGGAGGACTGAGCCCCAAAGGCGCAGGGATTCATTTGTCATATCGCAGTATCACTCGGTTTTTTTCCCCAAATAAGCCCTATTTCTGAGCGCCATCTCGTGCTGGCTTCGTGAAACAGTGTCCCTGTTGTCCCCGCAGAGCACAAACCCTGCCAGAGCTGTGTAAAACAACATCTCTCAGCTTTTCCCATAGGGTTGGCATTTCCCCGGTGATTTGCCACAACTGGAAACCCCCCATAACAATTTAATTGATGACTGATACAGGACAGGGCTATCCTCCACGAGGAGATGGGGCTGGTTGAGCTCTTCCTGAGTTTGTGGTTCCCAAAAGCCTGACCCACGTGTGGTTATACCTCTGCAAGCGCAAAGACCTAGCCCAAAGCCACCCGTCACCTTCTCCTGGTGTGTATGCTTTAGCTCTTCATGGCAGGGCAACCCTTTTTTGGAACTCTGCCATATTTTCTTCTTCCACGCTGCTTCAGTCAGCTCAGGGGAGGGCATCATCACCACCTGCGCTGAGCTCTGCTGTGTCTCGTCCTGATGTCCCAGCACTTCCACAGCAATGCCCGCGTTTCCCTGAATCTTGTGGGATAGGGAGGGAGAGAAAAGTCCAAGTGGCCAATTCAAGCACTCCCCGACCTGAGAAAATGTCACCTGCTGGGATTAGGGGTGCAGAAAGCCAAGCCTATGGCACTCATCATCTTCTGCAATGTTGGAGCATTGAAAGAAGAAGCATCTGGAGGGAAAAAATGGGAGATGGAACACTGAGGAGGGAATTGGCAGAGGAGCAGTGGCTAACAAGCAGTCATTAGAGGACTCAGGTCTCCCCAGTGCTCACCCTCTGTCCTAGTTGGTGTCCTGAGCATGGCCAGAATACAAGTCAAGGCGTCATTAGCGAGGCACCGACCTGAAGACCACGCTGCCCCACTCAACCCACGGCACTTGAGGTCCTTTATAAATCTGAATTCAACCCTGAGGTTCATTCTTCCTGCCCTGCACATCAGGTCTGCAAACCCAAAAACCCAGCTGGGGGCTGTCCTCACCTCCCCAGGGCTTGCCCTGCAAGAGGGAAAGGTGACAACATGGCTGGAGGCTTTGAAAGCATCGCCGTCAGGAATGTTTCCAGTTCCTGTCAAACGCTGCTCGCAAGGCAGAGGTGAGAGTAAGCCTCCTCCTGCACTGCCGATGGGCGATGCTGGTGGGGCAGGGCTTTGCAGCCAGGTCTTGGCTTGCTGTCAGTTGATGTGAAAATTGCTGTTTTGGAGCAATTTATGTCTGAATAAAAGTCTCATTCCTGCCCATAGGCACTCTCACCTGTGGCAGGGTCATCTTGAAGGTGTTTCCAGGGACATGAGCACATGTGGAGGGGTTTGAGATGTTCCCATTGCCCTGGCGTTGAACAGTGTGGGTCGTGAAGATGACACATGGGGGGAGCAGAGCTTGGTGCACCCCAGGACTGTCTCTCCCCCGTCTCAGCCCCCTTCTCCCATTCCTCTGCAGGAGTGCCAGCTTCTCCCAAGCCACGAGGTCTGCCTTCTTCATGCGGAGCGACACAGCGGTCCAGAAGCTCTCACAGGGCAACGGGCACTGCATAAACGGGGTCGGCGGGCAGCTCCATGGCTTTTACAGCCTGCCGAAACCCAGCCGGCACAACTCAGAGTTCAGGGACAGTGCGTACGACCTCCCACGCGCCTTTGGTTCCTACACCCACCCCAAGTCCAGCCTCACCAGCTCTGAAACGGATAACGAGGAGGTCTACACCTACAAGACTCCCAACAACACCCTATGCAAGGAGTTTGGGGAGCTCTCCACGGACTCCTATGATATCCCCGCCACCCCGCTCTCTGTCTACCAGATCCCCAGGACATTTACACTGGACAAGAACCACAACGCTCTGGCTGTGGCCGCCAGTGATTCACCTGCCGCACCACCTCCCCGCCCCCCAAAACCCGGGCAGATGGAGCCGCGGTGGGGCAGCCCACCCCAGCGTCCCCAGCCTGGTGAAAGCTTAGGGCTGTCCCCCATGGCAGCCACCATTCCCCGGAGAAACACACTGCCGGCGGTGGAGAACAGCAGGCTGCACCGAGGTGAATTTGGGGGTGGGAAACAGGGGGTGGCTTTGTACTGTCTAGCAGCCTTGGATGGGGTGGCCCCACTGGGTTGTGGTAGGGCCGGGGTGGCTGTTGGCATCAACCAGGGGCTTGAACACAAAGAAGCTCTCCCCAGTCAGAATCTGACCTGTATATTTGTATGGGATGTGTAGGGAGAGGAATCCCCAGTACTCTGCCCACTGGAGCTACTCAACTGGCACTTGGCTGTCTTATTCCTTGAAACAAAACCCCAAACCTACTTGCCCAGGTAGCCCTTCACCAGATTTTGAGGATTTCAGCCATTTTACCTTGCTTTTTCTTTAATTCGTAACCAGGTTTATCAGGTGTACTTCAGCCTGGAGCTGCCTTGGTTTTGTTCACCATAATTTTGCACATCTCCAAGACCCAACATCCCCAGGGCAGCAGAGCCACGCTTCCCATTAGCCATGGATGTGCTATGAATGAGCGTGCCCTTTCCAAACCTTGTGCCTAGGATGACATAGTTGCACAGTAAATTAGAAGTGGCAGTTGGGGGGGAAATACGCTGTAAATGATGCTCACAGCTCCCTGAAATGCATCTTCCATCTCCTCCTACCTAAATACCAATATTTAGGCTGAGATCAGACCCATGTTCAGCAGTAGATAGACCAGTCTAGGATCTTAGCACCCCTGTCCTCCCCTCACGGGAAGCTGCCAGCCCTTACATCTGCTGAGTGAGCTGTATCTGAGCTCTCTCTTAACCCTGTTTTGTCACCAGGTTCTACCTTATCTGATATGCTTACCCCTGGGATTTTGCAGCGCTTTGACAAAACCAGGTTAGGTCTGCTTGGCACGTGCTGTTGTGTTGATGAATCAGAGAGATGCTGATTGGGAGGGAGCATAGCAGAGAGTCTGTGACAGGCTAAAAACCATGTCTTCCCACCAGCATCTCAATCATCAAGAATAGATTCTGCCCTCCCAGTACCTGGATTGTGTTTTCAAGGTGCCCTTTTATTAGCTGCTGTGTTGGGACATGTAAAACATTTGTGGTTGTGTTGCAGCTTCTTCTTGCGAGACGTACGAATACCCCCAGCACGGGGGCGGCAGCGCTGTGCAGTCAGTCGAGTCCATGAACGATGGGTACAACTCCTACCTGGTGAGTTGGCCTTGGTGTCGGCCACTGCCCTATAGGCACCGTTTGCACCTTATAGATTCAGAGACAAGACAGGTTGGACCTCACAGCCGAGTCCTGCAGAGCTAAGTCAAGAGGGATTTCATCACTGATTTCAGTTAAATCCATGCCTGCAGGGTAGAGATGGAGGGACAACCACCTAACCCAGCACCACACGCAGAGATTTTCTTTGGGTGTTTCCACAGAGTGTGTCTGCATGGAGTTTTGACCCCCAAAAAAGTGCCCAGGAGTTTGCCTTCTTCCTGAAAGCCTGGGGTGCTGCTGAGCTGAATTTTGACATGTTGCCAGAACAGCCTCTTTTGTGCACTTTCTAAGACTTCCTGAGCTGGAAATGACATTAAAGCAGCCTTTCATATTGCATTTTAGTCATGGCCAGAGCCCAGGGAAAAATTACTTTCCAGGTCAAGCATGCTTCTGCAGCTCACTCTGATCATGAGAAGGGGCTCAGGTCTGGGCAATTAAGACCTTTCCCTGAACTCAAGGTGTTGCAATGTCTTGGAAACAGTGGAGGTAGACCCTCTCAGTGCACACTGATGGCCAACGAGGGGACAGACCATCCCTTCCTCCTGTGCTGAGATTTTAGAGCCGTCCCACCTCAAGTAATGATGAGATGAAGGGGTTTATAGCGGGATGGGGTTGAGCAGTGTCTGATGCTCAAAGCATGTCTTCCCACTTGTCCCCCAGCAAGCCAAGGCAGCAGTGGCCCGCTCCCACAGCACCGACTCCGAGGACAACTACGTCCCCATGAACCCCGGTTCCTCACCCCTCATCCATGCCGAGAAAGCCAACGACAATGCCCAAAATCTCTACATACCCATGAGCCCTGGGCCGCATCACTTTGACCTGGTGGGGTTGTCCTCAGCCACTCTGCCCGTGCATAAAGGAGGAGCCATAGCACAGTGCCACAGACGCTTTAGTGAAATCCAGCCCCCGCCAGTCAACCGCAACCTCAAACCCAACCGGAAAGGTAAGCATAGTTGTCTGTGGACAGATCTTTCCAGGAACCCTTCTGTTCTTTTAATACTTCAGACTACATCTCTCAGCTTGTGAACAGTCAGTAGAATTCTATGTGGGGTGTGCTTTGCTACCGCCAGCACACTCAGACCTTCAGATCTTCCCCGTCCTCTTCCTTTTTCAGGACTACAGTGCAAATGCAGCTTTCACGGTGCTTCAGCAGCCTATCTCAAACCCTTCCTGGCCTTTACAGGAGATGCACGTCACAGGCAGGATCTCAGCCCCTTTGCCTGCACCCTTCCCTACGCTCCACCCCAAAATATCTGTGTTGTAGTCAGATAACCCAGATTTCTCTTACTGTTTGCTACTGACTGGCTTCAGGCAGTTCTTCCCTCAGGGCTTTGCCTACATCCTCCATATCCCTCCCCAAGCCGTTTTCTGACAGGTCACCAGGGTCACCATCACAAGATGCTGCAAAGGACGATGCCCATCATTAGGGTGTCAACACCTGACCCCATCGACATGCTGGGCAAGGGCTGGGGCTTGACCACAGCAGTCTTCTCTTCCACGTAGTGAACCATTTGTGATAGGAAGAGCCTTCATGTTACCCTGCAGATATCCTTTCCCGTTTCCTATGGGAAAATGCTCTGACTGGAGGCAGCTCAGGGCTGGCAGAGCCTGGTCTTGTCCCCCTCTAACAGGTTATCATAACTCCTTAAAGAGTGGCTTTGTTATAAACTGGGGTTTGGGAATTTTTAGCAGATCTCCATTCCCTGAGAGGCTCGTTACCCTTTTGGGGCCACCCATTCACTTTGGGGCTGTGGCTCAGAAGTAGAAATTCAATGTTTTCCCCCAGTCGTGGACGTTGAATTGTAGGAACATGCTGCCTCTGAATAAAAGCTTCTCCCTTCCCCAGCAAAGCCATCACCACTGGACCTGAGGAACAACACTGTCATCGATGAGCTTCCCTTCAAATCGCCAGTCACGAAATCCTGGTCCAGGCCGACGTGAGTAAGGGTTGGGTTATGAATTCTTGCTTTGCTCGGACAGCAAATCTCTGGTCTTGCCTTTGCTGGTGTCCACAGGAAGGCACGCTGTCACCTCTGCTATGGATTAAACAGCAGCTTCCAGTACCTGAAGGGGCCAACAAAAAAGCTGGGGGGGACTTTTTACAAGGGCCTGTAGTGACAGGACAAGGGGTAACGGGTTTAAATTGAAAGTGGGTAGATTTAGATTGGATATCAGGAAGAAATTCTTCCTGGAGAGGGTGGGGAAGCAATAGAACAGGTTGCCCAGAGAAGCTGTGGATGCCCCATCCCTGGAAGTGTTCAAGGCCAGGCTGGATGAGGCTTGGAGCAACCTGGTCTAGTGGAAGGTGTCCCTGCCCATGGCAGGGGTTGGAACTAGATGATCTTTACAATCCCTTCCAACCCAAACCCTTCTATGATTCTGATTCTGGCCCACCATCTGTTTTGTTCAAGGGGTAAGTTTCTCATGAGCTATTTTGAATCATGCTAGAAGTGAGCCCAGACTTTGGATGCAGACCCAGATTTCCCCAAAAGCTGGATGGTCCCTTCAGCCCTCATTGTGTTCTTTGCCAATTTTAGAAACAGGAGCTGCAGAGCTGGGTCATGACATTCAAACATCCGCACTTGGATGAAAGTCCACCCTGCCCAACATCCCATCAGGGACCAGCAGGAGCTATCTGGGAAGAGGGACATTTGCAGCACAATACTTTCCTAAAATAGCCTGCCACTCCATGGCGATTCAGAGCTCAGTGGTTTCCTTGGTCACGTCATGGTCAGAATTAGGAGGTGGGTCAGATGCTATCGAAGCAGAGGGCCTCCTCTCTTGGACCCCTCACAAGCTTGGTCAAGTGTTGTGAGAGCCAGTCATACTGCCCACATCACAGCTGGTGACAAGAAGATAAATTCGTTTAGGTCGGGTTTTCACATGAAAGCCCAGCATGTGGCTGAGCAGCTAATTAAGATCCCTTGAAGACACTTCCTATTTCTGGGATCTTACAACTCCCAGAGAGATGTGGCTCTGACATAGGACCTGTGGTCACTGCGACTCGTGACTCAGCTGAGCCACTCCAACTTGGCCGCACTGGGGGTGTGGGGCATGATTTCACATCCAGTTCTTCCCCAAAAACCCCTCTGTGGTCTCAAAACACAGGGTGATGCTCACAGGGTCTGACCGAGCTGTGTTTTGATTGCCTTGAAAGCAAAGCCTAGCCTGAAGGAAGTCTGCAAAATGAAACCAAAGCACTTCAGAGCAAAGTCTGCCAGCCAAAAATAACAGGATTTGCACAATTCCAGTTCTGCTGCTAATTCGTGGTCTGATGTTGTCCAATGAAAGGCAGAAGCAAAGCTTTGCTGCTATGACTCCTCTAATAAATTGGATTGTGTGGAGACTGACTGCAGGGCATGAGCGCTGGGTGCTGAAATCACTGCACCAGGAAACAGCAAGGGGGGTTTGATTGACAAGACATCTGACCCCGGAGAAGCTTATGGATTTTTCCCTTATCAGCTAATCATATGACCCTGCCCTTCCTGCAAGGCAACAAATAGCTTTTTAGGACGCAAGCTTTAATGCCAGATGCTGATTGCATTATGTTATTCCATATAATTAGATTTGGCCAATTGAAAGCAAGACAATGCCTCAGAGGTTTTGTTTTCCAGCAAAAAATTCGGGTAGGGCCCTCCACAGTAAACAAATCCTGGAGCTGCAGTGAGGTGGAAGGTGAAAAACTGCACTTTGGATGGCCATGCATCCTCCACAATTAAATACATCCTGAGAGGTAACGGAGTTCATGGAGCCTGATTTATGTAGCTGATAGCAGGAGAGTTACGGGTACATAGCAAGCAAGGTGTTATTAAAAAGTCCTAGAAAGAGAAAAGACAAGAAGACCAAACCCAGTGATTTCTGAACCATGGGAAGGTCAGGTCAGGAGGACCTCAATGCCACCAGCTCTTCTTCATGCCCAGTCCTCAGACATGAGCATGGTGACGTTCGGAAGCAGCACGTGCTGCTCGCTCCCATCCAACCTTTGCAATGGATAAGCAGCACCTGCAACCATCATTAACACACTGACCCTTGTCCTTACAGCCAGACCTTCAATGCCGGCTCTTTGCAATACTGCCGCCCTGTCTCCTCCCAGAGCATCACCAGCACTGACTCGGGAGACAGCGAGGAGAACTACGTGGCAATGGTAAGGGCCCCACAGCTAAGATAGATGGTCCTGGCAGGACATCTACGTTCCCCAGCTCTGCAAACACATTCCTGGCTCATGACGTGGAAGTGCTCCCAGAGCACTGTGATAAATGTGGTGTACATCCTTACGTACATCCCTACGTGCACGAAACAGTGGCTTTCATTCCTAAAATGACATGTCCCATTGAGGTCTTAAATATATATGATAGCAGGAACATACATCACCTGCTTTGCTAGGAATTAAGAGGGGATAAAAGCATCTGTGGACTGTCAGGGTGTATTTTCCTAATTTAAGTTGATCTTTTTTCAGGCTTTTTTTCCCCTAATAGCTGCTGACATATTTGTGTGGAGGGCAGGGGCTATCAGAGCAGCAGCAGGGAGTGGCACTGCTTACAGGGAGGGGGTTTTGTCTCTCTTCGTGAAGCTGCTGACTTGAAGCATATTTTTGAGGCTGTGTAACTAAGGGGGTGGAAGAAATCCGTGCTCTGTGTAACGTGGTTGTGATTAGTGAAGATCCCAGAGCTGCTCTGGCCTCGACGAGGTGTGGTTCCTGGGAAATGCTGAAGCCCACATCTGATGTCAGGCATGCGAATAAAATCAGCACCAAGGCAGCAGAACTGCTCAAATACATAGAAACAAGAGCACGAGCCTGAAATATTTGTTAGCACAATATACAAAATATATAGTCCCCCATCGGTTCTGCACACCCTGATGAGCACATATCCAGGCTGGGACCTCTTCTAAAAGTGCCACCGAGGCATGTCATTGCCACATTTGTGTTAATTCCGTTTTTTTATTCCTTCTTCCCATGTTAATCCTTGTTATCTCTCCTGTCTCTTCCCTGCATTAGCAAAACCCCATTTCTGCTTCTCCTGTTCCTAGTGGCACCAACAGCCCAGCGCCTAAAAAGAGTTTGGGGAGTGTGGATTATCTGGCCCTGGACTTCCAGCCAAGCTCACCAGGGCCGCACAGAAAGGTACGGGGGATTTTATAAACTTCTGACTAAAGGTGATGCGTTTTTTTAAGGGTGTTTATGCACACTGGCTCCAACGTGGTCCAAAGCCCTGAGAAGGGTTGGTGAGTGGCATGGTAACCCAAGAGGCATGATTTTTCCTGCAGATCCACTGCTACATTTATTCCAGGTCAGACTCAGTCTCTGTTGCTTGCCTTCAGCCATGCTGGAAGTGTTACCAGAAGAACGGGTGTGCAGGGGCTCAGGGATGCTGGTGAGACCAGAAATTCAGCTGGAGATTGCATATTCAAAAGCTGTCAGGACATAGCCCAAGAAGTATCAGGAATTTTTTTTTTCCTCCTTCAGAACAACAGGTCCTCCAAAACCAGACTTGGGTTTTCCACCTGAGATACTCTCAGGAGCTCATTCCGAAAATGCTGGGCACCTGTCTCCTGACAGACTGATGCTTTTTAAAGGTGCCATTTGGGCTGGAAAAGTACAAACTGCTTTCAAAAAGTGAACCTGGTATTCAAAAGCTAGATTATACTGAGCTGATCAAGCCATTGCCTGGTGGGAAAGAGATGTAGGGAGAAGGTGGGGTGGGAATGGGATGCCTCAGCTAAGTGACATGTGAAATTAGGAAGAGGAAGCTCCTAAAGACCCAGATGTTGGTGATTTTTCTCTAGGTTCATACACAGGGGAATCAAACACCATCTTCAAGTGAATCATAGGAAAACAGGGCAAGGGAGGACCTCAGGGCATCCCTGCATCCAAAGAAAACCATCTCTCCTGAGGTGACAGACAAGGCTTAAAAGACTCAAATGATGGAGATTTCACAACCTCCCGAGTAAGGCCATATAGCGAGTGGAAGAGGACACCCAGGGGTGACAGAGTGGGCTGAGGAGGGACCAAAGGACCTTCTGGATGCCACCCTGAGCAAACTGGGAGAGGGAAGGAGAGACTGTCTTCAAGGCCAGGCTGGATGTGGCTTTGAGCAACCTGGTCTAGTGGAAGGTGTCCCTGCCCATGGCAAGAGGGTTGGAACTAGATGGGCTTTAAAGTCCCTTCCAACCCTAACCATTCTGTGATTCTATGACTGTCTTAAGCAAAGCAACACCTGAGCGAGGGGACAGTGAAGGACAAGGTGTTATATAAACCTTAGTGGGAACCACCTCTGAGTTGGCCTCAACTTTCTCAAACACTGTCTTGTTTCCTAGGCAAAGCATCCCTCTGGATAGGTCTTTTCATTATTTGACAGTTGTTCCTTGATTGTTTCTTTCTGCCCAGCAGTATTTCTGCAGGTATTACCAATTTAAATTATAACCCAACCTGGAAAGGTGATTTTAGACCATTAAAAAATCGCCATCTGGCTCTAGGTGCAAGCAACTGGAAGTCCTCTGGAATACTTGTAAAGGCAGACAAAGTTCCAGAACTCAGGAAACTACGGAAAAAAGTATCTCATTCTTTCCCAACAGGTCTCCTGGGTGAACCTGTAAACATACCTGTTGTTTTGGGGATGAAAATAATCTCCTGCCTTAGGTGTGTAGAGTCAGCATGGCTAAGAGGGATGGAGTTGCGGTTTTGTAAGAGTTCTTGAGTGCTTTACAAGAAAATGAGCAAGATGCAATGCTGAATTTGCAATATCAACAGTTAAATAACACATTTGCAACGAAACATTCCTGTCCCAGATTTGGTGTGAAGGTGGAGACCCAGGTGGTGCTTCTGCCCTCCCATTGCCCTGAGTCTCACGCAAGCAAAATGCAGCGCAGATTGAGATCTTTCATCCAAGGCCCTTCGGGAGGTTAGGGGGAGGGTGATGTAGGCTGGAAGAAGGCAAGGGAGGTGCCAATGGACTTGCAGCACCTGTGATGCTGCTGCAGGCAGGAGCAAGAGGGAAGAGCAGGGAGCTGATGAGTGACCAGGCAGTGGCCATGTTTCTCCTCCCTGCAGCCCTCCACCTCGTCGGTCGCCTCGGATGAGAAGGTTGATTACGTGCAAGTGGACAAGGAGAAGACGCAGGCGCTGCAGAGCACCATGCAGGAGTGGACTGATGTGCGGCAGTCCTCGGAGCCCGCCAAGAGCACGAAGCAGTAGGGCCTGGGGCAGGGAGCGAAACAGGCAAATGTCCCAGGGATTTTCCCCAGCTGGGGCCGCGCCGGGCTGCCAGCTCCACTTGGGCTGGATTTCTAAGACTTGTCTGCGGATGGGAGGGAATCTTCTTTTTTTGTTTTTTTCTTTTAAGACAAACAGAAACTTAATTTCAGGGGAAGACTTGGCAGATACTGTTTGCCAGTGATAAAGACCAACTATGTTCGGTGGCTAGGTTTGTGCTTTAGCTGCTGGATGCATTATCCAGGAACTTCAACTTAGCAATACCAGGTTTCACCCTACACATGTTTGCTTACAGCTATTAAAGGCACCTTGTATGTGCTAACACTGCATCATCTCTCCCTGTCTTCTTCCATGCCATACCCCACAAACCATGCAGGTTTGCAGCATCTCTCACAGGACATCATTCCCCATATCAGAGGATTCTCATTCCCCAATCTTTATGGTAGCCCTTTTCTCTGCCTCCTCCCAGTCCCAAAACTGAGCAAGGACCATTGCTTTTGAAATCACTTTCATTGACCCAGATCTTGTAAATAATATGTTCAAAGCCTCTGAGGGCTATTCTCCTCTTGGCAAGACAGCCCCCATGGTTTTGGATGTGGTTGTTAACTTTTGGGAGCTTGAAGAGCATCCATACTGTACAACTGAGCTGACTTAGAAGCCCAGGACTTGTTCCATCATACACACGCATATAAGCCAGCACATGCTCACACACACGCATGCATGTGTGAAACGTGTGTTGACCAAGTTTGTTGAGGTTTCTTCTGCTGTTGATGCTCTCCAGCATCTCACAAAGTCAGTGGGAGAGATTGGCTTTGGATGGCAGAATTTAAATCCTGACTCACTGCCCATCTGAAACCAATTGCCTGTGAATCTGGCCCCAAGAACCACAATCTGCCCTTTGTGGCACCAAAAGAAGCTCATAGTGTGAGAGTCCTTCATCTGTGGCCGTTATGAGAAGCTCTGTGGTTGAGCACGAGGGGTGCAGGGAGGCTCTGGAGACCCTGTATGTCTGGATTGGCACACGGGTGAGTGACCAGGAGGGAGTGGAAGGCTGTTGCAAGGGCTCGGAGAAGGTGGATGCTGTACTGCCGAGGTTGGTCTCGGGTGAGGAGGTCCATTGGGGCTTATCTTGGAGGAAAGGAGTAGAGTAATTGAAATGTTGGTTGACAGTGAGGTCTTAGGCTTGGGAAGAGGCTGGTCATGCGAGTCAGGGCAAGGTGTTTCAATATTAGCTTTAATGGAGCATTGTGGTTGGTTTGTGGTGGGTGCAAAGGGCTGGACTCGATATTTTCTCACCATCTTCAGCAATGTTTCTTCAACACAGAAATGGGGCTTGATGACGTTAATGACCCTAGGCTCTAATTATGGGTGGGAGTCTGCTGTTGCCCCTTACCATCATCCTTGAGACATCCAGGCTTTGGGACCGTTCCCTAGACAGCTGCCGGGTGCAGAGAGACAAGAAGGAAGAGACAGTTTATTGCAGAGATAATAATTCATGATCTCATGAAAACAGGAAGGGCTGATGATTGCCATGGAGCAGCCTGATTGCCAGACAGCGAGCGCTGACACGAATAAACAGGCCAAGCGCAAACCGAGAGCCAAACGAAGGAGTCATTAGAAAAATTAGCTAATAATATTTATTAAATAGCTGGAGCTATTCTTTCTGCAAGCTGAACCTTTCCCAGCACCACAGGCTCTATGTTCTACCAACACCACCAAGTTGTAGTGATTACTGATGCTTAAGCATTCACACATTTGTTTAATCTTGGTCTGAGTTTGGAAAGGGACAGGCATGACCCACATGGGGATAGGACACCAGTCCCTTAAGGGCTGCATGCTGGTGAAATAAGTTTTGAAATTCCAGCACCAGTTTATATTTGCTTCTTGCATGCCGTGAAAGGGAAGGATATTAATGGAAAAGCTCTGACAGCCCTTTTGAGACACTGATGTGTTTGCCTTTTAAAGGAATAATGGAGCAAATATCCTAATGCTTGTGGTAAAAATAATAATCATCTAATAGAAAAAAAAAAAAATTAAAAGACCCAAAGGGGAAGATCCAGATGATTTCTGAAGGTTGGGGAGTGTGTTACAGCCTGTGAGGGCCTTTGCCTCTCGTTGGGGGCTTGAACGCTTGCACGGTGAGATAATGAAATGAAGACCAGAGTATAGTGCTTCATATTTCTATAACCCCTTTCATCACTGCATCTCAGGGGAGACTAGACATTGGGCCTGATCCAGAGCTCACTGAAGTGTGCGTTCACCCAGCTGGGAGTGAGCTGCCCATCCCCACCGAAATGCAAATGTGACTCAAGAGGGAAGCTGATTTTTTCCTATCTCATCCTCTAAGCTGTTAGGCGGACACAAAGGAAGAAGAGATTGGGGGAAAAGGGTTATCGTGCACGCTGGATGCATTTCCCTGCCAAAATTGTGCTGTTCTCTGACACTAAAATGCAGCCACCTCTGGGGGTTTGCAGCAGCAATTTTGGGAATAGCTCTTTATGTTGCTTTGGATCTCTCTCAGGACAACTGTTCTGAAGATGAAACTGAGCCCAGGTCCAGGCTAAAAAAAATCTTGAACGGGACCAAAAGCCTGGAGATATCAAGTGATAGCCCGTGCTGAGGTTGAGTCTTTTCCTCCACGTGGGAGATGAGGAGTTCCTCAAGTCCCAAAAGTACCCCCAACGTGGGGAGGCAAGGGGGAGGGAGATGCAGTAGTAATTTCTGATGGTGCAGTGGCTTGAGAGACAACACGATGGGTTGGGATGCATTTTGCTGAGTTGGTGCCCTGTACTTCCACGCTGGGAGAAGGTGCATCCAGTGTCCACTCCCACATGTAATCCAAAATCTTAATTAAAACTGGAAAAGCGCTTCGTGATACTGGAGAAACTATTCCCTTTTCTCCATGTCCCACAGATGTCTGTATTTGTTCAGGCACTGACATGGGATAACTCTTTTCCCAGGCTCAGACCCTCTGTTTTGATGATTTGCTTTCATGAGCATCGCCACTAACTGGCCATTTGCATTTGGCAAAACAAGGACCAAAACAGCCCAAAAGTAGCTATTTTGCAACTTCTGGTTGCTGGTCCCCCATATATTCCTCCATATTTTTTCCCTGCTAAGCACCACCCAGATCTCTCCTCCAAACGAAGTAGCAGCCCATGGACTCTGTGCCCTGCCTTAGAGACATGACTACGTCAACCCCTCCTGAAAGCCATTAAGTAATCGATGGCTGCAGTGAAAATAGTCATTCCAGATGGTTGCCAAGCTGATTACAGCAGTCCCTGATGATTAATATTTGTGCAGTGTTTAGTCTTAAACTATATTGAAAAGCAGCTGGTTTAATTACAGACTGCCAAGAACTTTGTCCTGAAGGCACTATTTGTCACATCCACGCCATACTTGGGCGCTCAAGTCAGCTGCTGAGTGAGCCAACTAGGGAAGGTGCCCCACTGGACCTGTTGTTTGTTAACAGGGACAGATTTGTGGGTGATGTGATGGTCGGAGGCCATCTTTGGCATAGAGTCTTTGATTCTTGCAGCAGAGGGTCAGCAGAACTGCTACTTGGCACTTCCAGAGGGCTGACGTTAGCCTGGTTAGGAGCCTGGTTGACGGAATCCCTTGGGAGGCAGTCCTGAAGGGCAAAGCAATCCAGGAAGGCTGGACATTTTTCAAAAAGCAAATCTTAAAGGCACAGGAAAAGGCTGTACCCATGGGCCAGAAGATGAACCAGCAGGGAAGAAGACCGGCCTGGTTGAACAGAGGGCTTTGGCTGGAACTCATGGGAAAAAAATAGAATTTATGGCCTTTGGAAGAACGGACAGGCAACTCAAGAGGACAACAAGGATGCCATGAGGTTATGCAAGGAGAAAAATAGAAGGGCCAAAGCCCAACTAGAACTTAATCTGGCACGTGCTAGGAAAGACAATAAAAAATGTTTCTATAAATACATAGCAACAAGTCCAAAGATTTGTGGTGAATGGAGTTAAATCCAGTTGGCCATACGTGGTGGAAGAACGGACAGGCAACTCAAGAGGACAACAAGGATGCCATGAGGTTATGCAAGGAGAAAAATAGAAGGGCCAAAGCCCAACTAGAACTTAATCTGGCACGTGCTAGGAAAGACAATAAAAAATGTTTCTATAAATACATAGCAACAAGTCCAAAGATTTGTGGTGAATGGAGTTAAATCCAGTTGGCCATACGTGGTGTTTGTTCCCCGGGGCTCAGCGCTGGGGCCAGTTCTGTTTAATATCTTCATCAATGAACTGGACAAGGGGATCGAGTGCATCCTCAGTCAGTTTGGGGATGACACCAAACTGGGGGGAGTGTTGATCTGCCTGAGGGCAGGATGGCTCTGCAGAGGGATCTGGACAGGCTGGATGAATGGCCAAGGCCACTGTGCAAGGGTCAACAAGGCCAAGTGTTGGGTCCCACCCTTGGGTCACACCAACCCCCTGCAGCGCTCCAGGCTTGGGGACGAGGGGCTGGAAAGCTGCCCGGTGGAAAAGGACCTGGGGATGTTGGTCAACAGGGGCTGAATATGAGCTGGTGTGTGCCCAGGTGGCCAAGAAGGGCAATAGCATCCTGGACAGCATCAGGAACAGGGTGGCCAGCAGGACCAGGGCAGGGATTGTCCCACTGTACTCGGCACTGCTGAGGCAGAACCTCGAATCCTGGGGTCAGTTTTGGGCTCCTCACTACAAGAAAGACGCTGAGGAGCTGGAGCATATCCAGAGAAGGTAATGGAGCTGGGGAAGGGTCTGGAGCACAAGTCCTGGGGGAGCAGCTGAGGGAGCTGGGGGTGTTCAGTCTGGAAAAGAGGAGGCTCAGGGCAGACTTTATCACTCCCTACAAGTCCCTGAAAGGAGGGTGCTGAGAGGCAGGAAAAGAGGAGGCTCAGGGCAGACTTTATCACTCCCTACAAGTCCCTGAAAGGAGGGTGCTGAGAGGCAGGAGTTGGTTTCTTCTCCCAAGTGACAATTGATGGGACAAGAAGAAACAGCTTCAAGTTGCGCCAGGGAAGGTTTAGATTGGATATTAGGGACAATGTTTTCCTGGAAAAGGCTGTCAGGCATTGGAACGGGCTGTGCAGGGAGGTGGTGGAGTCACCATCCCAGGAGAGATTTAAAAGCCAGGTGGATGAGGTGCTGAGGGACATGGTTTGGTGGTGGACTTGGCAGTGCTGGGTTAATGGTTGGACTTCTTGGTCTTAAAGATCTTTTCCAACCTAAACTATTCTATGACTCTGTGGCTGACTCTTTTGTTAGAAATAGGTATTTCAGGAAGCTGAGAACATTGCAAATTATTAATTTTAATTACAATTAAAATGGCTTGAGTTCACATCAGAGCCTGCTCTTCAGCTGTACTGTCCCATTTAAGAAAGGGATGTGCTTGCATGTGTGTGTGTGCTCATGGAGAAGGGTTGTCTGTGGGACAAGCATCATGACCTCAATATTTACTTTTATGAAGTACCAAGGCC